CTTTCTAGAATGAAAAAATAAAATAATTAACTCTCCAGAATTAACCATAGAGACCATAGAAGACATGGTTAATTTTATTTCAAATGAAAAATGCCAACAGACACGGTTAATTTTATTTCAGATGAAAAATGTTAGCAGAAATAAGGTTGAGATGGGGCATTCATCAGCGGAAAAAAAATAGATGCATATCCTCTTAATTCATCGTCTTTGATTAAAGATTTAACATGTACCACTCAGTACAGTGGCTACATGTGGCTATTTTAATTTTAATTACATAAATTCACTCCTCAGTCACACTAGCCACATTTCAAGTGCTCAGAAGCCATATAGAGACATTCTCATCAACAGGGAAAGGCTGGTTTAATTACTACTATGTTTGGAGCTAGATGCTTAAATAATACCCACTGCAGTGTAAGAGATTTACTTACCTTAATAAAAATCAGTGTGGTGCCACAGTGAGGCCTGACTGAATGAGAGGAACAAGTGGCTGAAAAGGTGAGTGGCACAGCATTTCAAAATCACCTGAGAAGAAAATTACAGTTAGGATAAGAAAGAACTTATTTCTAGGCCAGGCACGGTGGCTCACGCCTGTTATCCCAGCACTTTGGGAGGCTGAGGCGGGTGGATCACCTGAAGTCAGGAGTTTGAAACCAGCCTGGCCAACATGGTGAAACCCCATCTCTACCAAAAATACAAAAATTAGCCAAGTATGGTGGTGGGCACCTGTAATCCCAGCCACTGAGGAGGCTGAGGCAGGAGAATCGCATGAACCTGGGAGGCAGAGATTGCAGTGAGCCAAGGTGGCGCCACTGCGCTCCAGTCTGGGCGACAAGAGCGGCGAGACTCCATCTCAAAAAAAAATAAAAAAGAAAACCAAAGAAAACAAAAACAGAAAAGAAAAAGGATTTATTTCTGCTATGTAGCTTAACCACTGAGACTTTGAGATGCATTTTTTTTTTTTTCCTTTTTTGAGACAGAGTCTTGCTCTGTCACCCAGGCTGGAGTGTGGTGGCGTGATCTCAGCTCACTGCAACCTCCGTCTCCCGGATTCAAGCGATTCTCCTGACTCAGCCTCCCAATTACAGGTGCCTGGCTATTTTTTGTGTTTTTAGAGTTGGGGTTTCATTATATTGGCCAGGCTGGTCTGAAACTCCTGACCTCAAGTGATTCGCCCTCCTTGGCCTCCCAAACTGCTGGAATTACAGGCATGAGCCACCAGACCCAGCCGTGATGCATTTTTATATGGCCAGTTTCACCTAACCACCACTTGACTGTGTGACTGCATGTTTTATATTCATATGCTAGCTGATAAAACTTTTGAAAATTTAGCTTTGAATTTAGGCTACTTGAACTGTGAGACACATAACTATTACATTTTATCAATTCTAAAGTAAACCATTTATTTTTCTTCCCCGCTGGAATAGAGGAGGCATGGTCTTCCAGCGGACCTGTTCCTCCTATTTGCAGATCTCAGCCCAGCCATGTCTAATCCATGCTCCACTGCCCCAGAATGTAATATTCTTCCACATAATTGGTTTTTTGCATTATTTGAATGATTTTTTTGCTTACGTTATGTACTTACTTTTTAATATCTCTAACAACTATTTTTTTTTTTTAACTGTACCCTATTTCTGTTGAATAGTTTTACGACCTAAATTAACCCAGTTGGAATGTTTTAATAAATCGTGTTTGCCCTTTATTTGTATGTGTCTGTGCATATTTTTAAAAATTAAATA